TTTGAACCCGCAGTCGGCCATGTGGGAGTCCAGGGTCTGACCCGCTCTGCCCCCTGCAGGCTCCAGCTTTGCAGCCTCTAAACGTGTTTAAGGAGCACACAGCAGTCTGGGCCTTTGTGGGCCACATCTAGTAGGAGGGTGAAATGGCACCAGGGCAGCCCCAGCGTGACAGAAATGAGTTTCAGCTTGTCTGCGACTTTAGAACAAGTGCCTCAGCTCCTTCGACTGCTCAGCAGGTGAAGGCCTGTGTCCGGGGGCCCACAGTCCTCTCAAGGCAAACCACCGACCTCCAGTACTCTGCTGCCTGGGCCACTAGGAGACTAGGAGCCCCTCAGGCAGACATGACATGTCCCCTGCTCCTCGGCAGGCCACGGCATGGAGGAGCCTGTGGTGGGGAGCAGAGGGCAGTGTGGGTGGTCTGTGGCAGGCCCCTCAGAGGCCTGACCACTAAGGGACAGGGATGTGACCCCTGGTCCTGTCTGCCAACCCTCTCCCACCAGGAACGGGCAACAGGAAAACACAGGAGCCATATTTTTTCCTAAGATGCTGTATTTAACGCTTTCCCTCCTGCCATCCCACTCCCACCCCCGCCCCAAGACATTTCCCTCTGGAGTGGGGCCCTGGTGCCCTCCCCTTAAGGCAGACGGTGTGGAGGTAACAGGACACAAGGCACTGGCGGGCAGGGCGGGAGGGCTGGCAGGGCATGGCTGTCTGGGCTGGTCCGGGCTTCCAGTGCAACGCCCAGGGAGAGTGTCCCCAAAGGAGCTGGCACCCAGATGGCCACCTGCAGCCCAGGCCTCATCCCCTCTGCCCGTCCCCAGGGGCAGGAGGCCTGAGCAGGTCCCAGAACGAGCCAGAGCCCGGGAGCAGGCAGGACAGGCATGTGTCACAATAGCGGCTGTCTCCCCTGGCTCCCCAGCGGCAGGCAGGTCGCCCGGTCCCGGAAGGTCCTCGGTGGGCTCCATTCTCTTACAAGCCGAGTGCAGCCTCCTGGGGCTGAGCCTTCTGGCAGAGCCCACGCAGAGGCCTGCAGCTCACAGCTGTACTCGGCGGGGCGCAGCTCACGGCGGGGCGCTGCCCACCGCTGTCCGGCCTGCTTGCCCCACGTGCCCTTGCTGGCAGCGGGAGGCTCTGCGCCGGCCCTCCCCACACACTGGGCTCGAGGTCTGGTGTCCAGCGCACATCGGTGAGTTCCACAGCAGCGGCGGCAGCGGCCCAGAGAGTGTTAGAGCAAGCTAAGTGTGAGGTCACCGGTGAGAGGGTGCGGAGTAAGACCAGGTCACCGTCCCTGAAACCGCACTGCCCCCCTCCATGTGGGGCGCTCTCTCAGGGCCGTGTCACCTTCCTGTCCTCTCGCCCGTGCCCATGGCAGGTCCAGGTCTCCGTCCCCTACACCTTCTCCCATCAAGGTCAGCCACCAGGCTCCCTGGGGCTGCGGAGAGCTGGACTGGGGGACTCAGGTTCCCCTCTCACCCTTCACCCCTCTTGCAGGGCCTGCTCGCCCCGTCCACACCCAGTCTTCTCCACTCTTCATGTCCCCCCCGAGGCTGGACTCGGGGTGTGCAGGGAAAGGACTTCTCGCCCTCGCCTTCTCCTCGCCGGTCTGCACAGCCCAGGCTGGTCGTGGGTCCCCTACCCACCAGTCCCCGCCTCCCGCTCTGCCCCAGGGAGGGCGGCCTTCTCTGCTCTGCCTGGACTTAACGCCCCAGTCAATGGCCACGGGGGAGATGCGTGTCAAGGCACGAGCAAGAACTGCCCCGTGGGGCCCGGCCCTCCGGCCAGGAAGAGAGACACGTTACAAGTGGGTGCGAGGCTGCAAGTGGGGACGCGCCCTCAGATGCATGCCCCGTCCCTCACAGGCAAGGCCGGGTCTATGCCGCAGCTTTGGTTTTCTGCTAAAAAAATAACCCCCCAATAAAACATGTCCAGCAGAAGAGCTTCCAGCTCCTGATCAGCACCCCCTGAGGAGCTCTGGGTGGCCGTTGGGACACGCCACCCTGGATAGGATGGTGCGGTGTGGGTGGCTCTCCCCGCCCTAAATCCTCCCACTCGGGAGGTGCCCGGCCCCCAGGATGTGAGCGCCCTCCTGCCTCTCCACTTCATCCCTCCTTCCGGAGGCCTGGGCTGGAGGAGCCTTGGCACCTGTCTCTGCCAGTGGAACGTCAGCCCTGAGGTGCCCCTGCCTCCTCCTGCAGCGAGCAGGGGCACTGGGAGCAGGCCTGAGCCAAGGAGCAGAGGTGGTCAGTGCAGCGGGCCACCAGAACTACAGCGCCTTCATCTGGCGGCGGTTCCACATGCCGCGCTTGGAGTGGAAGTGATGGAAGAAGTTCCTGAGAGAGAGACGCTCCACTTCCAGGCCTGCTTGGAGAACCCTGGAGGAGGAGGGGCAGGGTGAGACCCTGCAAAAGCGGCCCTTCCCTCCCTCCCTCTGCTTGCTTCCCAGGGCACAGAGCCGGGCTGGGGTGATGAGGTGGGCTCCGCAGGCAGGCAGCCTGGGTGTGAACCCCAGTACCGTGCCTGGGGACGCCTGGCATCCTGAGACACACGAGAGGGGCCTGGCAGGGGCACGGCAGTGGGACACGGCATTGCGAGGCTGACCCACGTGGCAAGGCGGTTCATCTGGAGACCCTGCGAGTGCAGCAGGCACGCCTGTGCCCAGGACCCGGGCTGGCTGGAGCTGTGCACGGGCCAGGGCGTCAGGGCCCTGCGGGGTGCTTCTCTTTCTCTTTGTCTCTTGTTCATGGACAAAAGAAACTTCAAATTTTATTCAAAGGTTCATGGAAAATATGCATCATAAAAAAAGTACATGGATTTCAAAATGTTTTGCATCGAGGGACCAGCAGTTAGTGTAATGGCTATGTCACTGGACTTCCATGCAGTCGGCCATGGTTCAAGTCCCAGACCCGATGGCTTAAACTCACACCTGGCGCGTGTGCGTGCATGCCCATCCCCCTGGGGGGTGATTTCTCACTTTCTGTCTCTGTCTGGCGAGCGCACGCGCCCTATAGCAAAAACCGCTCCAAAAGAAAAATGTTTTGCATTGAAACAGACTTCCAAATATGTTGTTTTTGTTTTGTTTCTATTTTAAACTTTAGCATTTTAAATTAAAGCAGTACTTGCCATCCATCCATCCACAAAGCTGGAAGCCGCACGCAGGACAGAGGCGAGGGCGGGAGGCGAGGGCTGTCTGTGCTCAGCCCAGACCCAGCCCACACGGTGCCCGGGGACTGCACTGCAGAGGCAGAGGGCCATGGCAGGGCCCAACCCCAGGGCCTCCCCGCCCCTCTATACACACAGCCCGTGGGGGTCCCTCTCAGCTCATGTAAGTCCCTCTTGCAGGGAGGCTTGCCCTTCTTTTTTTGTTGTTGCTTTTGTTTTTTAAGATTTTTGCCTTAGGGTGTGAGCGCTCCCGAAAAAGGGAGGGGGAAAAGTGAGAAATCACCCCCACCCGAGGGATGATGGCCACTCCACAGTCCCTTCTCCTCCATTCTCCTCTTGGGATTTTGGGCGCACACGTACACACACCTTGTGTGATTTTCAACTGGCCAGATCCAGGACTCAAACGGCAGTTGGCCATGTGGGAGTCCGATGCCTTAACCGCCATGCCACCTGCCGGCCCAAGGCCTGCGCTTCTGATGGAGCTAGTGGCTGGAATCAGATCCTGCGTCCTGGAAGCCAGCCAGCAGGGCAGTGGTAAAATGTGGTTCAAGGTTGACCCACAGGGAAGCTCTGGGCTCACACCCAGAGACTCCTTGACACCAGGCACGTGTCGCCAGCGATGGGGCAGGCTGAGGCCAGGAGTGGGCTGCAGTGTCAAGACCTCGTGGGAGAGCTCTCTCTCTCTCTCACAGAAGAGATAAACAGATGACTTAAAAAAAAAAAAAAAAAAAAAGTTAAGGCCCTGTGGCCTAGTGTTTTTGAGAGGTTTTCGCTATAGTGCACGTGCGCTCGTCAGACAGACAGAGACAGAGAGACAGAAAGTGAGAAATCACCCCCCAGGGGGGATGGCCACACCGCAATCCCTTCTCCTCCATTCTCCTCTTGGGATCTTGGGCATGCACGCACACGCGCCCAGCGTGAGTTTAAGCCACCGGGTCCGGGACGCGAACCACGGTTGACTACGTGGGAGTCCAGCGACATAGCCATTACGCTAACTGCTGGTTCCCGTGGCCTAGTGATTAAGGCAACTGCATCCCACACAGCTAATATGGTTCAAATCCCGGCCCTGGAAGCTTGAAAACACACCAGGAGCATTGCATGTGTGCCCCAAGTCCTGAACTGGAAGACGGGGACTGCAGCACGACCATGCTCCACTGGGGGTGCTTTCTTCCTCTCTGTCTTTCAAAAAATAAATAGCAATAACTGTTTTAAAAGGCTTTTTCAAATAAAATTAATTAAAATCATTAAAAAGGAGAAACAAGGAAACGGTTTCTTTCTCCCTGGGCATCCCAGGACAGGGGAGTTCAGGCTGTCTCAGAGGGCTCGTGGCTGCCCACAGCCCAGCAGGAAGACAAGGGTGGAGGCAGCCGCCAGGTGGCCCGCTCCGGCTCCCCTACTTTGCTATCTATCTTGATCTAGGTTTAGGAGCGCCGAGTTTTCTCACAAGCTCCCTCAACTCGGCCCTCGCCACCTGGGGTCCTCTCCCTTTTCTCCTCTCCCTCTGGGGAGACATCCACAGACCTGGTGTTTAGGCCTCTGACACGGCAGGGGAAGATCTGGGCCACGTTACTAACTTCTCATCAAGACTCAGTTCCTTCACCTGAGAAGTGAGCTCATGACGCCTGCCTCTGCGTCTGGGAGGGACGAACGGGGTGGCCCGTGGGGATCACCTCCCCAGCACAGGCCCCAGAAGGCAGGCTGCATCTGTCCGGTCTCTGGGAAGGGCCATGAGTCATGTGCGTCTCAGCTGCCCTCCCCTCGCCTGACCGTGCTGTCCTCCTCCTCCCAGGCCCCCAGCAGTGACACGCTCCCTCCCTGCACACTCACCTCTCAAGGCTCCATCCTCTCCTCCCCTTCTCCTGACAGCAAACTTCTCACCCAACACGTCTCCACCTCCTCACCTCCACACGGCCCTCACTCGTCCTCACCTTCCACAGGCCCTCACCTCCACACGGCCCTCACCTCCACACGGCCCTCACTGGTCCTCACCTCCACACGGCCCTCACCTCCACACAGCCTTCCCCTCCCACACGGCCCTCCCCTCCCACACGGCCCTCCCCTCCACACGGCCCTCACCTCCACACAGCCTTCCCCTCCCACACGGCCCTCCCCTCCCACACGGCCCTCCCCTCCACACGGCCCTCACCTCCACACAGCCTTCCCCTCCCACACGGCCCTCCCCTCCCACACGGCCCTCCCCTCCACACGGCCCTCACCTCCACACAGCCTTCCCCTCCCACACGGCCCTCCCCTCCCACACGGCCCTCCCCTCCACACGGCCCTCACCTCCACACAGCCTTCCCCTCCCACACGGCCCTCCCCTCCCACACGGCCCTCCCCTCCACACGGCCCTCACCTCCACACAGCCTTCCCCTCCCACACGGCCCTCCCCTCCCACACGGCCCTCCCCTCCACACGGCCCTCACCTCCACACAGCCTTCCCCTCCCACACGGCCCTCCCCTCCCACACGGCCCTCCCCTCCACACGGCCCTCACCTCCACACAGCCTTCCCCTCCCACACGGCCCTCCCCTCCCACACGGCCCTCCCCTCCACACGGCCCTCACCTCCACACAGCCTTCCCCTCCCACACGGCCCTCCCCTCCCACACGGCCCTCCCCTCCACACGGCCCTCACCTCCACACAGCCTTCCCCTCCCACACGGCCCTCCCCTCCCACACGGCCCTCCCCTCCACACGGCCCTCACCTCCACACAGCCTTCCCCTCCCACACGGCCCTCCCCTCCCACACGGCCCTCCCCTCCACACGGCCCTCACCTCCACACAGCCTTCCCCTCCCACACGGCCCTCCCCTCCCACACGGCCCTCCCCTCCACACGGCCCTCACCTCCACACAGCCTTCCCCTCCCACACGGCCCTCCCCTCCCACACGGCCCTCCCCTCCACACGGCCCTCACCTCCACACAGCCTTCCCCTCCCACACGGCCCTCCCCTCCCACACGGCCCTCCCCTCCACACGGCCCTCACCTCCACACAGCCTTCCCCTCCCACACGGCCCTCCCCTCCCACACGGCCCTCCCCTCCACACGGCCCTCACCTCCACACAGCCTTCCCCTCCCACACGGCCCTCCCCTCCCACACGGCCCTCCCCTCCACACGGCCCTCACCTCCACACAGCCTTCCCCTCCCACACGGCCCTCCCCTCCCACACGGCCCTCCCCTCCACACGGCCCTCACCTCCACACAGCCTTCCCCTCCCACACGGCCCTCCCCTCCCACACGGCCCTCCCCTCCACACGGCCCTCACCTCCCATAGGGCCCTCACCTCTACACGGCCCTCACTGGTCCTCATCTCCCACATGGCCCTCACTTGTCTTCACCTCCCACAGGGACCTCCCCTCCCACAGGGTCCTCACCTCCACACGGCCCTCACCTCCACACAGCCTTCCCCTCCCACACGGCCCTCCCCTCCCACACGGCCCTCCCCTCCACACGGCCCTCACCTCCACACGGCCCTCATGCCCACACACACTGTCGGCCTCACTCCCTGCACAACCTCCCCTGCCCCTGCCCCTGCTGAGTCCACGGTTGTGTGCTGTTCTCCTCCTCCACGTTCAAGGCTCTTCACAGCCTTGGCCACTTCTCCCCAAACCCTGTTTCCCTGTTTCTGGGACCCAGACCCTCCTGGGATTCTTATCATGCCCCCTTCTTCAAATGTTTACATTAGGGGCCAGCAGATGGTATAGTGGTTATGTTGCTGCACTTTCACATGGCCAACCGCGGTTCAAGTCCCGGACCCAGCAGCTTGTAATTCATGCCAGTGTGTGTGTATGCATGCCCAAGATCCCAGGAGGAGAATGGAAGAGAAGGGACTGCAGCATGGCCATCCCCACCAGGGGGTGATTTCTCACTTTCCCTCTCACTGTCACGGTCTCTGTTTCTCTCTGGCCAGCGCATGCACCCTAAGGCAAAACCTCTAAAAAGTAATAACAATAAATAAATGTTTATGATAGAGAGCACATGTGTGCGCACGAGAGACAGGCACTCCCAACAGGGTGTCGGCAGGCCAGGCCCCTTCCATGGAGCTCCAGCTCGGAATCCTGGGCACCCACGCACACCAGGCGAATCTGCCAGCCTGGGTATCTGAACCCGCGGTCGGCCGTGTGGCTTCCAGCCTCGCAGAGCACCGTATTACCACGGCAGCACAGCGGCTGGGCCTTGGTGCCCCCACCTGCGCCTCCCCATCCATCCCCGAGCTCTGCCTCCTCCTCCTGGCAGCTGAGGCAGGAGGAGCACTCCCATCTCCCAGGGCGCCTTGCTCAGTGCTGAGGACAGCATCACTCACGCGTGTCCAGCTCACAACCACTTTAATTCCCAGGCCAGCCCAGCGACACACAGAGGGGACATGGCCCACCTCGGGGAGACACAGACAGAGTCTCGGTGAGGTGAGGGGCCTGAGAGCTTCCTCGGGGCCAGCCGCTCTTTACCTGTGTGCTGGAGCCTGCGGCCGAGGGGCAGATAGGAGGACCCAGCCCTGCCCCCACTCCTGAGCACAGGCAGGCTGGACCCACAGTCCCACCCACGGCACCCCCACTTGCCTGTCCAGCAGCTCCCAGTCTTCCCCGCCCCAGCGGTCCCGGAACTCCCTGGTGTTCATGCCCCCGATCCTGTCCAGGTCCGACTTGTAGATGCCGAGTAGCCCAAAGCCATTCACCTCCCAGTAGCCTGTGGACAGACAAGCAGCTCTGGGTGAGAGGAGCCAGGGCTGGGGGACGAGGAGGAGGAAAAACCTCTGGGCTTTTGTGGCCAAAAACTGTCTGTGGAATGAATCCCTTGGCTTTTTCAGGGGGAGCCCCGACTGTGCTCAGGGCTCAGCAGAAGCAGCTGTCCTCCCAGGCAAGAACGGGATGGTGACAGCCCTGCAGAGTGGGACCGCAGCTGCGGGGGCACAGCCGAGTCCCCGAGTGCGCCCTCTCCTGCCCAGGCAGGGAGCCATCTCTCCATCGGCCCTCACATCTAAGGAGCGGATGACAGAGAGGCGGAGGAAGTGCCCGCCGCGGCACCTGCTGCAGTGTCAGCACAGCCCTGGGCTCTCCTCTGACGGCTTCTCCAGGGAGAAGAGCTAGACGGGACAGAGCGCACATGTGTGCCCACGGGGCAGGGCGGAGGGCGGAGGGGACAGGAGCAGGGAGAGGCTGGTGCTCGTGAACACAGGAAATGTAGAGCCCAGGCCGAGGGGCCCCTCCTCCCCGGCCCAGGACGGGGCTCACCCTCTGGCCACTGCGGTGTGGCCCCGCAGTGAAGCCTCATCACCATGGGTGCGAAGGCCATCTTGCCCTCCACGCAGTGCTTCCGGATGGTGTCGACGACCCCCGCTGGGAAGTGGATGTGCAGGTCACAGAGGAAGACGATGCTGTGTGGGTCCTGGGGGCAGAGGCGGGCAGGCTCAGCAGGTTCTGTGACCAGGGCGGGCCAGGCCCTGCCCTGCGGGGATGGCAAACGTCCACAAAGCCAACTGGTGGGCAGATGCCATAGTGCTGAGCGTCAGAGCCTGGCTCTTCCCATCGGGACGACTCCCGGTTCCAGGGACTCCGGAGAAGTGGCGAGTGCCCCAACATGTGCTGGGTGCCCCAGCCCTGGCCGGCAGCATAGCAAAGGGTCCCGTATGCTGGCTCCTTCCTGATGGAGGGCTGGCTACCTGACACAGCCCAGCAGCCCTCCGCTCTTGACCAGCGCTAACCCCAGCTCCCGAGCACCTTCCGCACCACTTACCTTCACCAGGTCTATGCCGGCCTGGAGCCCGGCCGAGCGCTCGAAGTTCCCACTTAGCTTCGTGTACTGGTAGCTGCCGGGAGAGGAGAGGAGAGGAGAGGAGAGGGGAGGGGCTGAGAATTGGGACTTGGCTGTGTCGGTCCTGGAGGAAGCTGGCAGGCACAGAAGACAGAGGTGTGTGTCCTTGGGGTGGGATCAAGGGCGGTGAGTCCTCTAAAAACACTAGACACAGGTGTGGCTCAGTGGTTAGGCACCGTGTGCGGGGAGCCAGATCCCACGTGGCCGGCCACAGTTCAAGTCCCAGCCTCAGTGGCTTAAAAAACACACCAGCCACCTGTGCGTGCTCAGAAACCTCATGGGATGGAGAAATGGAGGCAAGGGGATCGCAGCATGATCGCACTGGGGGCTCTCTCTGGCAAGCACGTGCACTCTCCGGGATAAAAAGGCAGGCAGGCTGGAGAGGAGACTGGTGGGACTTCTGGGTCCAGATGGACCTTAGGAAGGAGGTGGCCCAGGCTGACCCTGGCCAGCGCTTCCCTCACCTCCGCAGCTTGGACCTCCTCAGCGCCATCTCGACATCCATGTCCTCACTGCTATAGTCGGTGATGATGACGTTGAAGTGTGGGTCGCTGCTGACCCGGGACAGGGTTTCCATGTCTCTGATGAACTGCTGCACCCAGCGTGCCTGGTTCTTCACTGCCGGTGGGTCAGGCAGGGAGAGACAGTAACAAAGATAAGCATCTCCACACCAGCTCCAAGACAACACAATGCAACTGTGGGAAGCCGCCGGGACAACGCAACGGCGTGGAGCCACCAGGACAGTGCGACTGCGTGGGGCCACCAGGACGGTGCGCCCGCGTGGGGTCACCTGGACAGTGCAACTGCGTGGAGCCATCGGGATAATGAATCTGTGTGGAGTCATTGAAATAATTAACTGTGTGGGGCCTCAGGACAGGGTAACCACGTGGGGCCATCGGGACAGTGTCAGCGCGTGGGGCCATCGGGACAGTGCAACCGTGTGGGGCCATCGGGACAGTGCAACCGCATGGGGCCAGTGTCTCGGCACGGAGCCATCAGGACAGTGTCATGGCGCGGAGCCATCAGGGCAGTGTCACCGTGTGGGGCCATTGGGACAGTGCAACTGCATGGGGCCATCGGGACAGTGCAACCGCATGGGGCCAGTGTCACGGCACGGAGTCATCGGGACAGTGTCACCGTGTGGGGCCATCGGGACAGTGCAACCGCGTGGGACCATCGGGACAGTGCAACCGCGACAGTGCAACCGCATGGGGCCAGTGTCTCGGCACGGAGCCATCAGGACAGTGTCATGGCGCGGAGCCATCAGGGCAGTGTCACCGTGTGGGGCCATTGGGACAGTGCAACTGCATGGGGCCATCGGGACAGTGCAACCGCATGGGGCCAGTGTCTCGGCACGGAGCCATCAGGACAGTGTCATGGCGCGGAGCCATCAGGGCAGTGTCACCGTGTGGGGCCATTGGGACAGTGCAACTGCATGGGGCCATCGGGACAGTGCAACCGCATGGGGCCAGTGTCTCGGCACGGAGCCATCAGGACAGTGTCATGGCGCGGAGCCATCAGGGCAGTGTCACCGTGTGGGGCCATTGGGACAGTGCAACTGCATGGGGCCATCGGGACAGTGCAACCGCATGGGGCCAGTGTCTCGGCACGGAGCCATCAGGACAGTGTCATGGCGCGGAGCCATCAGGGCAGTGTCACCGTGTGGGGCCATTGGGACAGTGCAACTGCATGGGGCCATCGGGACAGTGCAACCGCATGGGGCCAGTGTCTCGGCACGGAGCCATCAGGACAGTGTCATGGCGCGGAGCCATCAGGGCAGTGTCACCGTGTGGGGCCATTGGGACAGTGCAACTGCATGGGGCCATCGGGACAGTGCAACCGCATGGGGCCAGTGTCTCGGCACGGAGCCATCAGGACAGTGTCATGGCGCGGAGCCATCAGGGCAGTGTCACCGTGTGGGGCCATTGGGACAGTGCAACTGCATGGGGCCATCGGGACAGTGCAACCGCATGGGGCCAGTGTCTCGGCACGGAGCCATCAGGACAGTGTCATGGCGCGGAGCCATCAGGGCAGTGTCACCGTGTGGGGCCATTGGGACAGTGCAACTGCATGGGGCCATCGTGACAGTGCAACCGCATGGGGCCAGTGTCACGGCACGGAGTCATCGGGACAGTGTCACCGTGTGGGGCCATCGGGACAGTGCAACCGCGTGGGACCATCGGGACAGTGCAACCGCATGGGGCCAGGGTCACCGCGTGGGGCCATCGGGACAGTGCAACCGCGTGGGACCATCGGGACAGTGCAACCGCATAGGACCATCGGGACAGTGCAACCGCGTGGGGCCGTTGGGACAGTGTCACCGCATGGGGCCATCGGGACCATGCACTTAGGTGGAGCCATCAGACAGAGTGGAGCTCACCATGGCCTCTGCCCTCTCTCTGCACCCTCTCCCGGGCAGGACCCCTCGGGTATGCTGGGGCCCACCACGAGTGCTCTCACAAAAACCACCATGCTCTGGCATCTGTCCGTCGAAGCACGCTTTCCTGTCCTTCCTTGCCTATGACAAATCCCCCTCTCATTATGAAACCAGCTAACTTCTCTGTTAAACACCCTCCTGTCTTGTTCTTAAAGTTTATTTATCTTTCATGAGTGAGAGACAGAGACAGCACCCCCAAAGGATCACCATGTTGTGACCCACTCCAGCCTCAGCCAGCCCAGATCATGGGGCTGACCTCATGGTGTGTGCACTGGGAGCTGGGTCCCACATGGCCGTCTACAGTTCAAATCCTTACTCCGGCAGCTTCAAATACATATAGGACCCAGGGACCAGCAGTTGGCGTAATGGCTATGTCGCTGGACTCCCATGTAGTCGACCGTGGTTCGCGTCCCGGACCCGGTGGCTTAAAGTCACACCGGGCGCGTGTGCGTGCATGCCCAAGATCCTGAGAGGAGAATGGAGGAGAAGGGATTGCAGCATGGCCATCCCCTCTGGGGGGTGATTTCTCGCTTTCTATCTCTCTCTCTCTCTGTTTGTCTGGCGAGCGCACACGCCCTATGGCAAAAACCTCTCCAAACAAAGAAAAAAAAACAAAAAAAAAGACATATGGGACCCATGTGCCCAAAATCCTAGCTGGAAAGAGGAAAGGAGTACAGAGGCTTGGCCACACCCCATGACGGGGTTCTCTCTCTGGCAAGTGCATGTACCCTCTGGCAACTAAAAAAAACCTCCTGGGACCAGCAGGGGGTGTGGGTGGGTAAGGGGCTGGACTCCGACATGGATGCCGATGGTTCGAGCCCCAGACCCAGCGAACCCTGGAACTCAGAAAGAAAGAGTCCTTGCTAGGGACCAGCCCCTACACTTAGCTCCAGCATGTTCTGGCCACGGAACCTGAGGCTGGCCACTTTCCTTTCACGAGCCTGCATTCTCAGTGTGAAGTGGCCTCTCTAGCAAATCCATCTAAACAGACTTTGGGACCAGCAGGTGGTGTGGAGGTTAAGGCACTGGACTCCCACATGGCCGGCTGTTGAGTCCCAGACCTGGGGGCTCAAAACTCACACCGGGAGTGTGTGTGTGTGTGTATGCCCAAAGTCCCCAGAGGAGAATACAGAGGAGGGATTACAGCATGGTCATCCCCATGGGGGTATTTTCTCACTTTCCCTCTCTCCCCGCTCTCTGTCTCTCTCAGCAAAACAGAAGCCAAAACCAAACTTGGAGCTCAGGGCGGATCAGGGTCCCTGCCCTGCGCTGATGCCCAGGCTCGGCTGGTGGCTCACCTGGCACAATGAAGTGGACCACAGCTCGGTGATTCCAGGAGAAGCCCTGGGGCCAGCACAGCTTGGGTTCCGAGGCCCGGGCATTCAGCACACGTCTCCGGTGGCTGTTGGAGTTCCAGACGAGGCCCTGCAGGTTCCGAGCCTCAGCTTCCTCGCCCCCAGCCAGATCGATGCCCTGCCAGCCGCGTGTGGTCACATACTCAGAGAGCCGCACCACGCGCCGGCCCTGCTCCAGCAGTTCCAGCTCCAAGAGGTAGCGTCCCCCGCGCAGCTGGTCCTGCCGCTTCTCCACGTTCACGATGCGCTGCAGCTGGTACCTCCTGTGGCGGGGAGGATGGGAGCTGAGCAGGCCCGCCCCTCTCTGCCAGGGAGCCTGGAAGGCCAGTGGGACGGAGGCCCTGGTTTCTGTCCTGGCTCCCCAGTGGCGGGCGGCAGGGCTGCAGGTGCAAAGGAGCCCTCTAGAGCTCACTGCCCCCGTCTAGCAACCTGCCCACTAACTGCGGTGGTCCTCATCGTCTTCACCGTGCCAAGACTTCACGAACGCGAGGCCGACAAGAGGGGTTGTGGGGAACAGGGTCTTTAAGAAATGCACCCTCAGGGCCAGCAGGTGTGTAATCGTGACATGGCTGGACTCCCACGTCGTCAACCACGGTTTTAGTGTCCAACCCAGTGGCTTTAAATCATGCTGGGCATGTGTGCGTGCGTGCCCAAGATCCCGAGAGGAGAACAGAGAAGGGATTGCAGCATGGCCATACCCCCTGGGGGTGATTTCTCACTTTCTGTCTCTCTGTCTCTCATTCTGGCAAGCACACGTGCCCTATAGCAACAATCTCTCTCATAAATAAATAAATAAGAAAGAAGGGCACCCTCACTGGGCCAGCAGGGGACATGGAGGTTAAGTCAGCTGGAACCCACATGGCCAAGTCCATGGTTCAAATCTCAGATTCAGTGGCTTGAAGACTACACCCAGCGTGTGTGTGTGTCCAAAATTCCGAGGGGAGAATGGAGGACAAGGGATTGGCACAGCCATCCTCCCTGGGGGGTGATTTCTCACCTCCCCTTCTTTCTCTTTTTCTGGCAAGCAAAAAAACTAAAAATGTGCACCTTCATTAATAAAAATGGTCTATCGAAAGTCATAGTTCACAAGACACAATGCTTTATTAGATAGAGGTTGTCTGGTTGACATGCCATTAGTCATTAGAGAAATGCAAATGAAAACCAGGACGTGGGTCCTGGGCTCACGTCCCGGGACCGCCGCGAGCACGCAGGGTGCACGTGTGTGCCCCTGACCTGGGCTGCTGACATGGGTGGATCCTGCTGGAGGGCTCTCGTTGTCGCATGGAAGAAATAAACGTAAAAATAAAAACCCACAATGTGATACCATTCCACGCCCCCGAGGGCACGGACATGAAAAAGCAAAATGAAAAATGACAAGTGCTGGTGAGAGTGGACTGGGCCCACACTGCGGGGAGCGTGACACGCTGGACAGAGTCCCCACGGCCCAGCCCGAGCGAGCTGAGGACGCATTCACACAACCACCTGCACGTAAGCCAGGCCCGTGGCCTAGTGGAGGCAGATCCCCACACGGCTGACCACGGCTCGAATCCACGGCCTGCCGGCTTGACGAACATGCCAGGAGCATGTCTAGGTGTGTCTAGGTACTGGTGGGTCGGAGGCGTGCACGAGAAGGGCCTGCAGCCTCTGTGTCTTCGTCTCTCTCTGGCAAGGTGCGTGCCCTCGGGCGACAGAAATGAAAAGAAAAGGTGAGGTCAGCGTTTGGTGTGGTGGTCGGGGCTGGACTCCCGCATGGCCGGCTGCACTTGGAGTCCTGGGCCCAGCAGTTTGAAAATCACACCAGATGTGTGTGCATGTGTGTCCAAAATTCTGAGAGGAGACTGGAGGAGGGACTGTGTGGTTGTCATCCCCTCTGCAAGGTGATTTCTCACTTTCCCTCTCTCTCTCTCTCTCCAGTGAGTGCACACGCCCTATGGCAGAAACTCTTAAAAAAGGAAGAAAAAGAGGAATGGAAAATAACCACGAACAGATGAGGAGTTTGTTTAAAAGTGATGAAAGTGTTCTAGAATTATTTTACGGTTGTACAATACAGTGAAGAGGCTTTCTTCCTTTTTTAAAATATACTTTTAAGGGGCTGGCAGGTGGCATGGTGGTTAAGGGTGCTGGACTCCCACGTGGCCAACTAAGCTCAAATCCCAGACCTGGAGTTTCACTTTCTTACTTTCTCTCTCTCTCTCTGTCCTACTCTGGCCAAATAATTATTTATTTATATAAAGTTATATAAAGTTAAATTTTTAAAAAATCTTTAAAATAAAAAAATAAAAATAAATAAACATATTTTTAATGTGCACTGACTTAGGGGATCAGCAGATGGGGTAATGGTTATGTCTTTGGACTCCCACGTAGTCAGCTGTGGTTCGTGTACTGGACCCAGCGGCTTAACACTCACGCTGGATGTGTGTGCCTGCGCGTGCCCAAAACCCCGCGAGGAGAAGGAAGAAGGGGTAGTGGCATGGCCGTCACCTCTGGGGGACAGGGGAGTGCTTTCTGTCTCTCGGGCAAGCGCTCATGCCCTATAGCAAAGTAAAACTCTCTTAAAAAAAAGAGAAAAAGAAAAAGAAAACCACGGACCTGGAAGCTAGTAAAGGGCTGACTGTAATAGTATTTATGGGCCGGCAGGTGGTGCGGTGGTTAAAGGCACTGGACTCCCACGTGGCCGACCACAGTTCAAGCCCTGGACCTGGGGGCTTGCTTTCTCAGTTTTTCTCTCTCTCACTCTGTCCCATTAAAATGAATAAAGTTAAATAAAAATAATTTTTTCAAATAGTATATACATTTATCTAAAAAAAAAAAAGGGTGATATGAATTTATGAAAAAACAAGCGCTGAAGATCTGCCTCACCCCAAGCCTTCCAGGCACGCCTGGCCTTACTTTGCCAGCTCTCCCTGAAGGAAGGGCCTCCTCCCACGGGCCTTCCTCATCTTCAACACGGGTTCCAGCCAGCCCTGTTAACCAGGCGGTTTCAGAACCTGCTGATGAAGGGACAGAGACCTGCCTGGTCCAGATGGCCCCAGGTCAGGGGCCCAGGCGTGGCTTCTGTGAGCCTGGGTGGGGGTAGAGCTGCAGCTGCCCCTGCAGCGGGGAGCCTACCACCAGCCCCAGGCCTGCCCTCAGGCCCGCTGGCTGCTGTGCCCAGCCGGCCCCAGGAGCGCCCTTTACCTTACCCCCGGCTCCTCTGGTTGAGCTTCTTCAGGAAGAGCCGCGTGACCTCCAGGGCCTCCTGCTCAGGGAGCAGCAGGTTGCCGGACGTGTTACAGTTCAGGTCGATCCAGTCGGTCCGCAGGGCTTGGAAGTCCAGATTCCGCACGCTGAAGGTCTGGTCCCAGTGGACGACGGGGTCGAACACAGGCACGTACTCGAACACCTCGCTCACGTCCTCCTCTTCCTCCTCTTCCCCCTCCTGCTCTCCCTCCACGTGCCCTTCCGGGCCCTCTGCCACCACAGCGTCCTGGTCCCCCTGCCACTCCCTGCGGGGGGCCTGGGGCTCCACGCCGTCGGCCCTGCGCTGCTGGGCAATGTATGATTCCACCTGGCTCAGCCACTGGGACTGCTCTAGAGCCCCCCTGGGGCCGTCCAGGGAGGGCCCGAGCCTCTTAGCCAGAGGAGGGCTCCCTGCCGGGTGCCCAGGGGGCCGCCCGTCAGAACGCTGGGGGGCCTGGCTGGGCGAGGGGCTGGGTGTCCTCCGCCCCTGCCCTGGCTGCGGGGCGGGGCTGTGGCTGGGCCTCCCTGGGGGGGCAGCCGTGGAGTTGTGCGTGGAAGGAGGTCCGGGAGGGCCTTGCGGGGGCCGCCCCAGGAGCCTGCGCAGGCCTTGCAGGCGGAAGTCCGTGAGGTCCTGCTCGGCGGTCATAGTGGGCGTGGGCGCTCCCTCCGGCCGTCCGGTCTTCTGGTCACTGGAGGTGGGGGTCTCCTGTGCCACGTCTACATACTGGGATTCTTCTAGAAGACCCTCCTCAAAACCTGCTGAAAACAGCCGTTCCTCACGTCAGGATCCCAGCCTCCCCCCAAGCAGACAGCTGACGAAGGTGTAGGACGATCTCGTGTGGGACACGGGATGGGGTCCCGGACTGGGACCGAGGCCAGGCTTTACCACTGCGGTGTACCCTGAGCAGGTCCCCCGTCAACCCTCTCTTCCTCCACACTAGGGGACGGTAACCCTCCTCCCACAGGCTTGGTCCCCCAGTGGTCCCAGCTACCCCGCCCTCAGGAAGGAATTAACAGCACTTGTCTCATGTCAGGGACAGGACCCAGCCCCCAGCCGCCCAAGCCATCCCCTCCGGGCTGGGGATCTGCTCCCCGGCCCCCAGCATGGGGTGACAGCCACTTCCCATGTGGCCCTGATACGGACGTGCGTGTGGGGAAAGCCGTGAGCGTGGGGGGCTGGCCCGGCCTGAACTTGCCCTGCGCACAGACCACAGCGGCCCCTCCCAGCCTGACCTGCAAGCCTTGGTCAGGTCGGGCTCGTACCTGGCTGCCCCGGCCCCTGCTGCTCAGGCTGGTCCGTCATGATGTACTCCCGGAAGCTGAACCTGCAGGTGAAGGGACAGTGGAGCCGGAAGGTGCCTGGGCTGGAACGGACCAAGGACAGGGACGGCGGGCGTCTGCCTGTGGCGTGCTTGGGATGCGCTGAGAGCCTCAGGCTGGGAGGACACTGTGGCCTCTGTGGTCCGGGCAGTCTCCTGGCTCCTGCAAGGCCGCTGTCCTGCCCTTCAGTCACTCACCTGTCCTGGTAGTAGGCGTTGTCCTGGTAGAAGCATTTGTTCTGGGTCTCCATGTGGCTCAGGCGGGTGTAGTCATTGGGGTAAACGAAGGACAGGTGAACCTGGAAGTAGAGACAGCGGCAGGACGCCGGGCAGTGTGGTTAGACCTGCCGTAGGCTGGGGTCCTACAGGGTCAGGACCTGCCCTTGCCTGGGCTCCTATGGGGTCGGGACCTGCCCTTGGCTGGAGTCATGGAGTTGTACAGGGTCAGGACCTGCTCTAGTTCGGGGTCCTACAGGGTCAGGACCTGCCCTAGGATAGAGTCCTACAAAGTCGGGACCTGCCCTAGGCTGGGGTCGTATGGGGTCATAGAGTCCTACAGGGCTGGGACCTGCCCCTCGCACCCCTGCCTGTACCTGCTCACGACTACCTGGACCAACGAGAGCCCCTGGATCAAACCCCCAGGGCAGCCCGCTCAGCGCTGTTGCAGCTCACACCCTCCACTCAACCAAGACCGCTGCCCCTCCCTCCGGACTCTGAGCCTCTGCTGCCACTTCTGACCCTTCCCGTGCGACCTCGCACAGCCCTGGGATAGCCCTCTTCCCATGCGCTGTGTACCTCCCACCCCACCTCTCCAGCCAATTCCTGACCTCCTTCCTGCCTCCAGCTCTCTCATGACCACGTGGATCCGGATACGAGGATGCGGGTGTTCCTTCTGCCCCCCCCATGTGGACCCCCCCCATGGTTCACTACCCCTGCCTTGTCTGTGAGCTGATCCGATACTGCAGGGCACTGCGGACAGCACTGGCCAGGCAGGCAGGGCAGTGAGCCGCAGCCAGGCTGCCCACATCCGCACCGGGCAGCTGCTAGCCGGGCCTGTCTGAGTGTCCCTCCGCAGGCTCTATGGGGCAGGCCACCAGGCAGTCCTCCCCCGCCCAGGGGTCAGTGAGGCTGCCCCGACTGCTGGGAGGGACCTTGGGGAAGCGGGGGTCAGCCTAACATCTCCCGCCATCCAGGCCCGCCCAGCCGGGCCCACGACTTACAAAGCGGAGGCCCTGGTACCGCTGCAGAGGGAGCCCATCCACCAGGTAGCTGGGCTTGTAGGGGCAGTCAGGCAGGGCGTGGCGCAGGTGAGACTTGGGGATGAGAGGCACTGAGGACGACAGGGAAAAGGAACCAGGGTTGGGGGCGGGCTGAAGGCCTCTGCACTGAGCAGGCTCTTGCTGTGCATTACAGGCAGCTGTGGTCAGAGCCCCTGGCCGGGGCTGCGGGCTGGGGTGGGGCACTTAGGAGCACCTTGGCGCCAGAGGGCTCAGGACAGTGCTGCACAGCCCTCAGCATGACTGGAACCCTGCACAAGGCTAGCCCCAGCAAGGTCTGGAAACCTCCACGAGGGGAAGGTGAGAAAGCACCCTCATGGGGGATGGCCGTGCTGCGGTCCCCTCTCCTCGTGGGATTTCGAGCACGCACACACGGCAAGCGTGCTCAGCGAGGTGCGCAGCGTGACACCGCCCCGTAACACCAGTGACGTGCTTCCTCACGCCCTGAGCACCCCTTAGCTAACGCTTCTTCCCTTCTGTTTTTGAGAGGGGTGGAGTATGGAACAGTTTTTTTGCTTTGTTTTGCTATAAGGCACATGTGCTCACTGGAGAGACACAGAGAGAGACAGAGAGAGAGAAAGTGAGAAATTACCCCCAGCGGGATGGCCACACCACAATCCTTTCTCCTCCGTTCGCCTCTTGGGGTTTGGGGCACGTACACACATGCATCCGGCGTGATTTTCCAGCCTCCATGAACAACTTGAACCATGGCTGGCCACGTGGGAGTCTAGTGCCATCGCTACCACACCGCCTGCTGGCCTCAGCTTTCTCAAGTTTTAACATGGAAACACCCCAAGAACAGCACACTCTGACTCTAACACTGACAGTACTGGGTGCTCAGAAGAGTCATGACCTATGTTTGCCTAGAAGACCAGAAAACGCGTCACGGCTTTCCCGGCGGCCCCGGATTTCTCACTGGACATCAGCAGCTGGACTCTAATAAGAGACTATGGCATCTGTGCTGGGAAGGGACGTGGGCGGAGTTCTGGGTCATCTACGGGCCGTCCTGGGCGGCGGTTAGACGAAGGCTCGCTCTGCAATGGTTGGAAGAACTGTGGCTAGGCCACATGTGGAGGTTTAGCCCCACAAGGCTGACTGCAGTTGGAGTGCCTGGACCCACAATGTGAAAACCACGCTTGCCGTGTGTGCGTGCTCGAAATCCCACGAGGAGAGGGGACCGCAGCACGGCCATCCCCCATGAGGGTGCTTTCTCACCTTCCCCTCGCTGTCTCTGAAGAGCACACATGTAGCAAAAATTGGGAGGGAAAAAAAAAAGAGTTGTGGCATTGTCAAACTGGGGCCAGCCCCGAAGCCTGGTGGTTAAGAGCCAGACCCCAGATGGCTGACTGCCGTTCAAATCCCAGCTCCAGCAGCTTGAAAAGCATGCTGGGCACGTGTGTGCATGCCCCAGATTCCAACAGGATGGAGAAAGCAGAGGGAATTGTGGCGTGAACATGCCCCGGGCTGGGGGGGCGGTCTTCCTTTCCCTTTCTGTTTCTCTGTCTCTCTCTGGTGAACACAGGTGCCCTATGGCAATCGGAAAAAAACATGTAAAATTCGATCTTTGTACTTTTCTGTATACACTAAAAAGAAGAAAAAGACCACGACTCTCAGGACACTGGTAGAACTGACAGGTGTGTTGTCCCTGGGCTGACGACAGGCACGTGCCAAGGCCCTACCTCGATAGAGGGTGTCCCGGGGGTCAGGCCGCAGCATGTCGGTGAGGGGCTGCTCGTCTCTGGGAAGGGAGTCCAGGGAGCCCACGTGGCTGGCTGCCGTCTGAGGGATGTGGCCCACCTCGTCCATCCTGAGGACTGTCTCATCTGGGCCCAGGGAGGAAAGGACAGAGGACCTGAGTCCGGAAGCAAACCCAGCCCACCACCTTTGAGGGCTGAGGGCGAGACAGGCTTCAGTGTGCCAGGGTATGGGGCGATGTGGCCGTCCCCCCCCCAGCCTCCCACAGCCAGGGCTCTCAGCTCTGCACCTCCTTCCAGCCCCTCTACCACACCTGGCTGGCCCACAGGCTGTGTACACTGGAGAAGACACCTCTTCCTTGCTGGAAGAACCTGTCATCATACGGAACCAGCAGATGGCATAATGGACTCCTACGTGGTCGACCGTGGTTCGAGTCCCAGACCCGGCAGCTCAAGACACACTGGGCATGAGCGTGTGCATGCCCAAAGTCCCAAGAAGAGAATGGAGGAAAAGGGACTGTGGCGTGGCCATCCCCTTGGAGGGGTGGTGATTTCTTGCTTTCTGTCTCTCTTTCTCTGTCTTTCTGGTAATTAAAAAAGCTACCATGTGTGTAGATGTGTACAGATGCTCAGCAACAATCCGGGTGCTGTTCTAAGTATCCAGCAAAGGGGGGCTCATTGATCTTCATGGCTGCCATCTCTCTCCCATCACAGACTGGCACAGAGCGGCCGAGTTACCCGGCAAAGCTGCGTACCCCTAAGGGGCAGAGCCAGGTCTGACCCCGGGCAGTCTGGTCTCAGCAGCAGGTGAGCAGCCCCTCGAACACGGGCTCCAACATGGACAACAGCAGCGGGGCGTCCCCTCGTGCAGAGGGAGGGCAGCCCTCCCCTCCCCCTCTGGTAGCTCTAGCTTCAAGTTCACCCACACCAACCTCTTCACTGTCCTTTGAGATGAGAGACACAGGGTCGTCACACCGCCTCCATGCCCAGTCTCGGGTCCCCGGATCATGGGAATGTGTGTGCCCAGCGAGCCCAGGGAAGTGTGAGGACATGAACCCGGACCTTTCTCATGTGGGTCTCGGTGCATTTCTGCCGAGCCACCACCCGTCCCCTCTCCGGGGGCTTGTCTGAGCCCTCTGCCTCCTGGTTCCATTTGTCCTCAGCTCCAGGAAGAGCTTTGTGCTACACCCCTGGCCCACGTTACTCAGTGCTCACCTCATCTCGGCCTCGGGCCTCTTTCCTGGTCCACGTAGTGTCTACGGGCCCCTCCTCCCCCTCCTCCCACCATCCCGGAAGCTCTCAGCCTGCGTCCTCTGCCCTGACCGCTGGTCTTTTGCTTTGGTCACCAGCAACTTGGTCCTGCCCTCTCTTGTGAGCCCTGACCACCCCTCACTTTCTGCATCCCCCCTCTCCCCAAGGTCTCCCAACACTCATCTCTCCCTTCCTCCCCAGGGCTCACGCCCTGCCTGCTCTTTTCCACCTGCCATGAGGTCTACAGATGGTGAGTGTTTTTTGTTGTGTTTTAGGTTTTTGCCATAGGGTGCGTGTGCTCGCTGGAGACAGAGAGAGGGAAAGTGAGAAATCACCCCCTAGGGAGGGTGGCCAACGCCACAATCCCTTCTCCTCCACTCTTCTCGGGATATCGGGCATGCACACACATGTGCCCAAAGGGATTTTCAAGCCTCTGGGTCTGGGACTAGAACTGCAGTTGGGCATGTGGGAATCTAGAGCCTTAAGCACCACACCACCTGCTGGCCCCTGGCTGTGTTCTTGGAGAAATCAATAGGAGTGTCGCCAAGGACAAGGGCCCACGCACTGCTCACGTGAGGTGGAAAGGCTTCCTCTCCTGGCAATGGCTTTGCAAGAACCACAATGCCTTATCTGTACAACAGGGCGCCGGTGGCTTAAAAGTTTGTTTTGTTTTGTTTTCAGGTTTTGTCATAGGACACATGTGTTCACCAAAAAGAGACAGAGAGATGGGGGGGAGAGAGAAAGTGAGTAATCACCTCCTGGGGGTATGGCCACACCACAGTTCCTTCTCCTCCATTTTCCTCTCAAGATCCTGGGCATGCACACACATGTGCCCAGAGTGATTTTCAAGCTGCTGGGTCTGGGACTCAAACCACAGTCTGTCAATGTGGGAGTCTAGCACCCCAATCACCATGCCATCTGCTGACCCCTGGCTCAGAGGGTTTTAATCTGGAGTGAGACTTGTAGTCTCTGGGTCCCCTTGAGAGGGTGTTCAAAATATTACGTAGAAGAGGATGGTTTTCCTGAGCTGAGGGCTCAGAAAGCTCCTAGCAGGTTTTCTGACCCCAAAGAGTTAAGGTTCCCTTTTCTTGGGGTCCTTTTAGGCTCTGCTCCGTGTCCTGTCACACCCATGCCAAGCACCCTGAGTTTGGCCTCTGCCCCCCACATCAGCACTGGCCACAGGCCCCCAGGTGGGTGGGCCCCACGTGAGGCCCCTCTTGCAACCACGTCCAGGATGGGGTGGAGCCCACTCACTTGTGAAGAGGGACAGGGACGTAGAGTCGATAATGACGAACTTGGCTCCAGGGTCATTCCGTCGCCACTGGAAGAGGAGGGTGGGTGTGGGAGGTTGGAGTGGAGGCCCAGCAGGGCCCGAGGGTCACCGAGCAGGAAAGGCAGGACTGGGTGCACTCACCGCGACCTCCACGTGGTCGGTGCCCTTGGCGTCCTGCTTGTGCAGCACCTCGAAGTAGTACCTGCGGGCGGCTGACAGGCTGCGGGGACACGGCTGCTGTCTCCCCGCTCCTCCTCCCTCCCTCCCACCTTGCCCACACTGGTCCCCACCCCTGCCCTCACATCTCGGTTAGAGCTCGTGCCCATCACTAAGGACGATGTGTCCCCTCCCAGATGGGTGACAGCAGGTGAGTCACGGGTGACCAAGAGGGGCCCTACTGCCAGTCCGTCCCGAGCAGCGCAATGCAATGGGCACCGTTTAAGGCTTTGTGTGCGTTCACTCACTGGGTCCCCGTTTGGGATCGGAACTCGGCAGCGCAGAAGCCCTGATCTGTCCAAGCACTCAGGCAGGGCGTGACGGGGCTGGGACCCGGACCCCAGCAGCCTGGCTTCCGTGTCCATGTCACTAGCTGATCCACAGAGCTGCCCCAGTGGGCTGGCTCTCCACATCAGCCACAGCAGGTGCCCTCTGCAGGCTAGACTATCGTCCGCCCGGCTAGCTGGGGCCAAGGTCTGCTCCCGCCTGTGTGTGCACAGGGCCACCAGGGGGCGCTCTGAAGCCAGGCTAAATCCTTTTGCCAGCGCGTTGAAGCCATTTGGTCACTGGCCAGGAAGGGCTTGCCTTGCCCTCGGGCCCACCCACCAAGGGAGGTGGCTCCGGGGTCCAGGCTGCTCGAGCTGTGGATGCTCCCAGGGACAGAGAAGACAAGGTGGGCCAGGGCTCGGAGAGCGGACACCTGCTTTCCCAGTCCTGAGAGTCACTAACCCGCTGTGTGACCTTCAGTAAGTCACACCCCTCTCTGGGCCTCAGTGGCTCATCTAAAATGAAAGCAGGTGAGCCAGATGATTTCTAAGCCTAGGATGCCGCTGACCGGGGCGCACAGGTGCCTGGGCACATCAACGTCTGGAACAGGAGGGCTGGGAGCGGGCCTGGACACGGCCGCTGGCCCGCCTCACTTGGCCTGGGCACTGGGGGGCTGGGAGAATGGCAGCTGAGACCCTCCGTCCTCACCTCACGGGCTTGGAAATCTGACTCTGAAATTTCCCAAACTCTCCAGGGGCGGTCCACTCCTTTCCAGTCTAGAGGTGGAGAGAGGGGAGGGGAGGGAGAGAGGAGGGATGAGGGGGACGGGGTGGCAGATGGGAGAGTTAGGGCCTGCAGACGCCCCCCTGTTCCGGGGCTCCTGGTGGAGTCTGCAGCACGCAGGGAGGGCCCACAGGAGTGGGGTGGCAGCTGCTGCAGGCCCAGCGGGGAGCCTCTGGGGTCTTTCGGTCTCAGTGTGACTTCTCACTCCTCCCACCCCCCAGTGCATCCCTCCATAGCTCAGGGTAGGGTGAGAACCAGGACCCTCCTTCTCCACCCGTCCCCCTCCCACCCCCGTGTCACACAGCGGTGCTTGTCAAGGACCTGGTTCCAGGCAGAGGACGGAGTCGGGGACCGAGCAGACCCTACCTTGCCCACACTGGCCAGCAGCTGAAGGCCAGAGACCTGTTCGTCGCGGCTCAGCCAGAACTCAGCGTTGTCATCGGCAGCGATGGCGAACTGGATCCTCCCTGCGTGGAGAGGGGTCGGACCCGGGTGGGAGTGAGAAGGGCGTGAGCACAAGGCCACAGCTCTTTCCTCATCACTCAGACCGACCCTCCCGCTGGTGCTGGGCTCCCACGTGTACAGAGGGCTTCCTGCTTCCCCGCGCGGTGAAGGCAGGAAGGCCCGGGTGCAGGGCAATGGCGCTGTGCGAAGCTGACCCCACAGTGTGGCCAGAGGTGCATCTGGAGAGCCCCCTGAGCAGCGGCTGGCTGGGCGGGGGTGGACCGTGCACCAGGCCTTCGTTGGGGGGTGTCTCCCTGTTTCTGTATCTCACTCACTCATGGAAGACATAGGTAGAGTTAAAAAAAATGGCTGGCCCCATGGCCTAGTGGTCTAGGGAGCTGGATCCCACAGGGCCGATCACACGGTTCAGATTTCAGCCCCAGTGCCTTGAAAACCACGTTGGACACACGTGTGCCTCAAATCCTGATGGGCAGCGTGACCACGCCCCACTGGAGGTGCTCTCTCCCTCTCCTCTCCTCTCCCTGTCTCTCTGGCAACTTCATGTGCCCTTTACCAAACTAAAAAAAAAAAAGAAAAAATTCCAGAGAAGACGGAGAGGACTTGTAGAGAAGGGAGAGCTACCTCCAGGCAACTGGGGCGGAGTGGCAGCCGGGAGGGCTGGGTGAGAGCTCGCCGGGACCGGCTCCCTGTCCCGACAGGCCGGCGGGCTTACTCTAGCCATGGGCTTAGATCCCCTGCAGAGGAAGGGGAGGGGGGGCTCGGGGGCTGGCCTCCCCGTCAGTGGAGGG